ACTAACGCTCCAACTATTGAACCCACTAACGCTCCAACTATTGAACCCACTAACGCTCCAACTATTGAACCCACTAACGCTCCAACTGTTGAACCCACTAACGCTCCAACTATTGAACCCACTAACGCTCCAACTATTGAACCCACTAACGCTCCAACTATTGAACCCACCAACGCTCCAACTATTGAACCCACCAACCATCCTACAATTGAACCCACTAACGCTCCGACCGAGACATTTGTTAGACCCAGTAAAGCTCCAACCGTTGAACCTACTAAAGCTCCAATAGACACACATTATTTCTTATTCCCACGAAATCGTCCGACAGCAACAACAACAACAACAACAGAGCAGCCTCATCTGCGAGTACGTTATTATCACCAGAGATATCCTTCCCACACGACCACTTCCACCACCACTAACTATCCAAGACACTACTACCGTTATAACCATCCTCACAGAACAACCACTACCACACGCCCAATATTCTATTATCATGGCAGAAGACCCAAAACGACCACCACGCGCCAACCAAATCACTACCATTACCGTAACCACCACACAACCACTACATCTCAGCCAAATCACTACCATTACCGTAACCGCCGCACGACCACTACTAGCAGACCAAATCACTACCATTACCGTAACCGCCGCACGACCACTACTAGCAGACCAAATAATTACTATTACCGTAACCGCCACACGACTACAACGACAGAGGCACCACATCACAACCACAACTATTACCGGCATAACCCTACGACGACGACAAAACCAACTCGCCGATACTACAATCACTATAACTATAGAACGACGACAACCAAACCAAGTTACCAACATGTGTATGGTTACCATGGCAGGCAGAGGAGCAGAAGATATCATCACTAATACCATCACAAATAACTAATACTTCCACAATGAACTACCCTTATTGCCATTGCTTAATATTGTCAGAAATTGTTTAGCACATGGATGTAAAGCTTTGTAATTAGAACTGTATGCAGTGTATGATGATTATATGAATTACAGAACCTTTGTACTTACTTGTCTTTGCAATTTGTCACATACGTTAACAACATAAATTACATTTGTTATGAATGTCATTATGTTTGTATGAAATCCATATAGCTGTGTTTAAAGCATCCAAAAGTAATTTTGTATTAAATACAATGTAGCGCTACATTGGAGAATACGATGGATGAGCATAATCAAGGAATATATGAATATGAATACATATCACATATGCATTCATTTGTATATATGAAATTTGTATACTATGACTCTTTTCCTACAACGTGCTGTACAGTTATCATTTTTTGTAAGAACATGTTATTTTAGGTCCTAGTATTTTGTTAATAAAAGACTTACATAAAGTTAAAAATGAAAGACTATTTTTGTCTGATATATACACTAATTGTGTACCTTTCTGGGTACTGCCAACATAAGCATATTTTCCCTGTATATTTGTTTTTTTGTGATTTGAATTGTCAGCCGGTCACCACTGACACCTTATATTTTTGCTTTATGATTAAATTATTCACAATTATAGCATAATGAGCTTAATAAGTTACCTCTCTTCACTCTAACGAATTTGATAAAATTAGCCTTATTGCAATAAAAAAATATGCGAAAAAATTTCATCCGGACAATAAATCTGAGTTAGAACAACGGGTTATGACATGTAATTATGTTTATGAAACATCAGCTAGAGCAAAACACTCCACCTCCACTTCAGCCAATAGAGAAAAAACGGTAATAGATAATCGATAATGCACTAAACAATTAAAATATTCATCAATACCTCTACATCACTCAATGGCAGATCGGCATTCCTCAGCTGGATACACTGCAGCTCTTGCCTTTTCACTTTCTCCAGGTAGGGCTGTAGGACGCCGCGGTTCAGATGATGCACGGCTTCTGCTGTGTCGCCGTGTGTCTCAAACAGTGCATGCGTGATGCTGGCATGTGTCGTGAACTCCCCCAAGTCGTCCTTGATCTCGTTTATCTGCCACGGTCGGCAAGCAGATGAATAAGAATCTCGCACATAAACTCGAAAACACATTGCGTCAAATGTAAATAGTGTAATGACAGACAAGAGAATACACTAATTTGTAAATCACTCTCTCTCGATTATACCTTATATATATATATATATATATGGAGAGAAAGGAAGAGGATGAGATAGAGAAAAAGAGAGGGGCGAGAAGAGCAGGCAGTACTACGCACGCACGCACGCAACGCATGCATGCCACCTACTCAAAGCGCACAGCATGCACGCACACACACACACAACACACACACACACACAACACACGAATAGAGAGAAATTGAGGAGTGGGGTAACCCAGCCAGTCCGCACTCTTTATAACAACGCTTGTTCCTCTGCGTCTGAGACGAGCACCCATGGGTCGCCGCCTTCCTTCACCAACCAGGTGCTCTCACCAGAGAGCGTTGGCTGCCTCCTTGCGAGATATGTCACCGCACGCAACCGCTCGGACTTCTCCAGCTTCTCCACGCAGGCCGCGCGTCGCCTGCGACGCAGAGCAGCGGCCAGTCGTCCCGCAGCCACGCGTAGCGCCCTGCGGAGTCCCAAACAGGCTCGACCGACGCCGCGCACAATACTCTCCGTAACACTCGGCCCCCCTAACCTCAGAAGACGAAACGATTAACAATTGTGAGAAAGCGATCTTGCGATGCTACGCAGCAATCGGCGCGGTGTCGTTCAGAAGCGTCTCCTACTCGAAAGAAGCGAAGAGGTGAGAAATGTGCAGTGTGTCTCAATGAAGGGCCAGCAGAGCATGACTGTGAACACTCAGCACCTCTTACCTGCAAAATAAGTGCTTCCTATCATCTTCAGGCTGGAACATAAGAACTGGCTCATATATAATAATATATATATATATATTATAGAAATGAGAGAGAGAAAGAGAGAGAAGAGAGAGAGAAAGAAAGAGAGAAGAGAGAGAGAGAGAGAGAAAGAAAGAGAGATATCTATCTCACCCTCAGTAGTCGCAGCATGCGAAGCTGCTCACATCTGGCTTCCTCACGTCTCTTTGCGCGGATCAGCTTCTCTAGCCGGCTGCCCTGCTCACACGACCCTGCGCACATAAACATACACTGATGACAAGCACGAGTACAGTGCACAAGCGCGCACAATCAATCATTTGTAATTTACAATGTGCCCTCCCTCAATTGTTAGCAACGTTGCGGCCTCATTGTTTGAATTAACTTTGCCTTCATAATCAATCAAATTTTTGTTTCAAATAAGATAAATGTTTCACAAATGAATGCCATTAGCTCATGTGTATCATACCTGGGCTCATGATAGCTTCCAAGTCTAATGTTGATACTGTAGAGTTGGACTGCGGGGTGAATGTGCTACAAGTTGTAGATGGCTCGGTCGTTGACAATGATGAAATGGACGTCAACCCAATACTTGGCAGAGAGAAAGAGGACAACTGCAACTCGGCTGCGCTATGCATCGACGCTGCAGCACCGGTGCTGCATTGCCCGCTGAGGCTGCTGTTGTATGACTCGATTCTGCTCGCCTCTCCTTCCAAAGGACGTGTATGTGTGAGCTTGCTGGCATCTTGCCCATGTTTTGAAGGAGGAAATTCTGCAGCATCTTTTGGCGTGGCTTCAACTAGCGCATCTGAGCATGTCTGTGTGACTTCACTGTAAACAAAGTTCACAGAGACGGTTGATGAAGGATCTTTCTCGTCAGACTCAGCCGACGATACGACTCCCGTAGTTTTACTTTTAGTTTCGAAACCATCTGAGTTTGCACTCGTAATGGCTGAGGGATCCTTGTACGATGCATACTCTTCCAGCGGAACATTACCGTTGCTTGCAGTTGCAGACAAATCCAGCTTTAATTCCTCTGCTTCCGACTTTGCCATGCTCATCAGAGAGGGCACAGCAGCTACGTGTTTTGATACAGTGCTGTCACTCGGGACAGGCTGTGCCTCCTCCTGGCCAACAACCTTTAATTGATTTTGTTGGTTAGTTTTCAATAGGACAGGCTGCCCTGTGGTTTCATTGTGGCATTTCGGTGGCGGAGGAAACGTATCACCATCTCCAGGCATCCTAGGAAAGTCCAAGCTATTCTTCTGTTGAGCGACTGCACCTTTATCCCACACTCCATATAAATTGTCGTGTGGAAAGCATTTGACATCAGTGTGTGCAAAACTACCACTGTCGTTGCTAAACTTCTGTGCATCCAATTGGCAACTGAGGGTCGTTTCCGCTGTCCCAAGAGAAAAACCACATGCGACGTCTCTAATATTCGTTGGACTAGTTCGTTGGTAGTTCGTGCATAGCCTCTGATTTCGATTGGAAAGTACTCCCTCTTGATCTGTGATTTCACTGCAGGCAGAATAGAGGTCTTCTACATTACAGAAACTATTTGAATCGAAAAGTTTTTCGTGCGAGGCTTGTGACAAGCTGGACTGATGTGTTGACAGCTCTGGTCTAGCTGCGCTAGAAATGTTTATTGCATGTCCAGTGCCTGAAGATTCTGCTGATTCAAAGATAGTTGCACGACTTAAATAGCTATAAATATTCTCTCTATCCTCACATATTTGGCTCCTCTCAGCATGCAACCTATCTCGTTCTAATAAGACCTGCTGACTTAAAAAACTAGAGTTTGCATTACGAAGTTGTGAATCCAAAGCGGCTAGCAGATCATCCAAAATGGATACACGGCTATTCAGCCATTGCAGCATTGCCTTCATATTGTTTTTTTCATCAGAGGGAGATAGGTCTGACTGAAACATATTCTTAAGTCTGCTGCTCATAGAAGCTTCTTCTTTTGCAACGTCAACTTTGCCACTATTTTGCTTTGCCTCCGAACCTGGGAAACATGTCGACCGTTTTAACTGGCCGGAATTTGAATGAGAGGATAAACTGCAGCGCTCCAGGCTCGATGAAAGCTTGCAACTGTTGCTGACATACTCCTTATCACTAAACATGCTAACTCCGTAGCTGTCTGATCCACTGTTGGTACTCTCTCTGCAGTGCTCGCCCTCGGAATCTTTGCTTCGATCCAGCAACACCGGCAAATACTCGTCTGTCTGCCCACTGGTGTGCCAAGAATAGCTGAAGTCATCATCGTAGTTACTTAACTGCCTGTCGCCCACACAAGATGGCGCTGGCACGCTGCACAGTTCGGACTCGGACAGCGAGGGCCGATACTCTTCGCAGCCGGTTTCCGCAACCGAGTACTTTTCGGCGGCGTTTCCGGCGGCCGCAAACATGTCTTGCGCGACCACCGGGATCGATTCGTTGAAGCTCCAGCTGCAGTTTTCCGCCAGCGAGGCAACCTGTGCCGTCTGGTTCGCCACGCTCATCCGGCTGCTCTCCACGCCGCCGTCCACATCGACGTCCGGGTCGTTGCGGCCGCGCGGCGCGACGGACGAGTCCTCACCGTGCGGCGCCTCGCACTCACCGCGGCGTCGCAACGAAGCGAGAGCGGGAACGAGCACACCGCCTCCGACGGGGTCCGACGAAACCGCGCTGCCGACTGCATCGCCACGGTTCAGACGGTCGCGGATGTGCGGGAGGCGCTTGGGGTTTCTCGTGTGCCAGATGGAGTCGCAGTCGGAACAGAAAACGCCTCCGTCGCACATGCTGCATACGAGCGCGGCTGGCCGGCTGCCGCACACGATGCACATCCTATCCACTGTTCACAAAAACACACACGGCGAGTTATACGAATTCAGCGTAGTGTCAAACCTGCGTTAGCGATCACCGTTATAGACCAGATATAAGAAACTTGTTTATATAGAGCACTTTTGGTATTCACCTTGAATAGCAGCTACACTGAAGCAACAGAATAGAATCTGCTACAGCTCTATAGAATAGCCACATGTCTATTTAAAAACCACCTTATATACAAGTTTTACCTGTATTTACACAGTACTTTTACAGTTGTAGAAGAACAAATGAGTGACAATTAATCTGCTGGTATTGCCAAGTTTCACCAAAACCAGAATGATATTCACAGACTAAACATATAAATTCAATTTTTCATGGTACATTTCTATGAAATTAACAAATAAACAAATAAACATTTACTCGTTGTTGGAAATCCTTTTGCAGAATGTCGTCCAACTTGCCTGACAGAATCAAATATTCCTTTAACTCTGAAAAAGTATTTTCAGTCTTCCTTAAATATTTAAGGAATTCCACAATTAAATATTAGTAGGTCTCAGGGGAGAGATAGTGATCCGCGAGATGGCGCTTTATTAGTGTATTGTAGCTGCAGAAATCAGTTATCCCTAACCCTAACCCTAATCCTAACTCTAACCCTAACCCTACCCTAACCCTAATTCTAAAATTAAACAAAATTAGCCAAAAATAATAAAATTAAATAAGAGACCAAATTAGCCAATCAGAGCCGTCCCCTAGCGGATCACTATCTCTCCCTTGTGCAAAATTTATTAAATATTCACTGTCGGTAGGCCTACTACTATGAATATCATTCTAACATTACATATAATTTTCAGATATTTTGCACTTTACAATCTAACTGTAAGGGTGGCAGGGCGATATGTATGGTTTTAATACATTATAATGTTGATACATAAGAATTTTTTATTTAAAAAAACTTACTCTCACTAGAACCTTCTACCTGATTTTTAATCTAAATTTAAGAATTAAAATTAAAATCCATTTGAATTTAAATTTTCTTAATAACATATAGATTTCTGGTTTAAAGTGGTTTAAGTGGAACTATTAAAATGGCTGCCTACCTATGAGGATGAGGGTGCGTGTCTGTCAGATAGGACTTCAGCTCTATGATTGCCATACTGATGTCAGCTGCCAACACCGCTGCCCCCTCAGAGTGTTCATGAGATCCTTGTGATGCAGCACACCAGAAAAGGCAGTCCGTTCCATCCACATAACCAAGCTGTTTTAGTATATCTCTTGCTCCCTACACAGAATACACACCCGGACTGTTATACACAGTATCAGGGTGCAAAATTAACGCGAGTCCGGAGTCCAATACTCCCTGATTTACTGTCGGACTCCCTAATTTGACATATGCAGGAGTCCGTGTGACTCCCTGAAAGTTTTGCCATACTAACTAGTTCGTTCCATAAACACGGCCTCGCAGAATTACCGTATTTTTTCAGCAAATGTCCAAAGAAAATTTGGCAGACGTGCAAAATGCAACGTTATTGTTAATATCTTTAATTTTGAACTTCAGACTACGGACTCCCTCATTTTGCTGTGGACTCCCTCTTTTTGAGGGCAGGGAGTCCGTGGGACTCCCTTGTTCAAAAGTTAATTTCTACCCTTGCAGTATCATTTTTAACTTATCTTGTCTATCGAATTTAACCTGTTGTGAATAGATACTTACTGGATTATATGCCAATTTGTACGTAGTTGGTGAGTTTTGCCATGGACATGTACATGAATATCTGATATTGGTTTTACGAGATAGTGGTATTACTTAGAAAGATATGCCTCAATCTATGTGTAGGAAAATGGAAGAAAATAGATAAATTAGTAATAGGGCAAATACAAATCTTTCATTATACTAGCTATTACCCGTCCTCCAGACGGGTTTGAGTGGGGGTCTGATTTGAGGATGGCGGTTTAACCATTTATCTCTCACTTTTAGTTGAGGATGTATTTACAGTAAACGAAAAATACTGATATTTAGACTCGAGTCATATATCAATATTTGTTTTTAAAAAATTTAAATATATATAAAATCTAAAATTTTACCTTAAAATAACATACAATTTTCCAAAAAAAGGGAAATGGGGTGATTTCATAGTACAATTTCACTTATTTAGATATTCTTTTTTAAAATATCATTCTGGTTAGAACCATCCTTAATAAGACAAATTCTTTAAAAAAGCAAAATGCATTGAGTAGTTTTGAACATATATTTTCTTGAAAGTCAGTGGACGGAAGCTGGCAGGGTTACACCTCCCATTGTCAAATATTTGCACACACACACATCACACACACGCGCACGCACACACCGCATTCACACACATACGGGCATGCGCACGCACAATCACACGCGCACCCACACACACACATACCAATTTACACACACACGGGCGCGCACACACATACACGCACATGCACACGCACACACACGTATACATACATACATACACACACGCACACTCACACACACATACAACACGCCGTCTCTCGTTGGGGTTTGTCTTAAATTTTCGCCTCACAGCTGTGCGCGGCAGTGATTGGCTGTTTATTCACCGCAGCCGCAATTTCTTTGGTGTGTGCATGTGTGCGCATGCCGGTGTGCGTGCATGCATTCGTGCGTGCGTGCGTGCGTTTAGTGTGGCTTGCTATGCAAGGTGAAGGCTCCACCTAATTAAATGCTTATTATTATACCTTTAATCTACATTTAGTATAGCTATATTATCATTAAAACCCAATTAGTTTAACACAATTTCAAAAGGTTATGGTATATATAGTGTGGTATGTGTGTGCTCGTAGACAATCGAAACAGCGTCTAAAAATGTCAGAGCATTGGGAGCCGGGTAAGCACGGGCACGGTTACACCTCCCGTTGTCAAATATTTGCACACGCGAGCGCACGCACGCACACACCGTATTCACACACATACAGGCATGCGCACACACAATCACACGCGCACCCACGCACATGCATACCACATTTACACAAACACGGGCATGCACACACATACACGCACACGCACACGCACAACTGCAGCCGTCTCTCATTGGGGTTTGTCTTAAATTTTCGCCTCACAGCTGTGCGCGGCAGTGCTTGGTTGTTTATACACCGCAGCCGCAATGGCTTTGGTGTGTGCGTGTGTGCACATGCGGATTTGGCGATCTTAAAAGTTGGTGGGGGTTTCCGATGAATGCCGAAGTTTCTTCGGGCACATAACTTTTTAGAAAATTGCCTCCAAAAGTCACTTTACGATCGAAAAATCGCGTTCTAACGTAGCGGAATGTATTCGGGATGTCCAGAAGGGGCCCCAGCTCGATTCGCGTGAGAATACGTGGCACGGTTTCGGAGGAGATACGGAAAACGACACTTCGGCTCTTTCTACTATTATATTATAGATATTTGATGCCCTCTACCCATGTTTATATAGGAAAATACATGTAGAAGGGCACTGTCACAACAAAATGTGAGTCTAGAAACAAAAACAGCAGAGTATGCCCAGTTTGCCCACCATACATACATTTACCCACTGAACTCTTTGGCTTGCCAGGATGGAGTGAGTTATAATCTTCCAATCAGGTGGACGGTCCTCTACAGGCTTCAGAAAATTTAGGGCATATTTCCGAAGCAGTGACAGGCAGTCAAGCAGATGGCTCATTGACATTCGAATATCATCACCCTACACAATCAACATAAACAATATCATATTACAATAGACTCTAACATTTCTATTTACAGTCTAACAAGGATCACTCACAGAACACCAGAAAAGTGTCCTTTATAAACATGTATCGATTTTATAGAGTTATCTGCTATAATACTGGTTTGACTGTATATATGCAAAACTGCAAAACCTCCCAGGTCATTCAAATAACATAGCAAATATGGATATCATTTATATCTGCATTTTTCCCTTACACTTTGAACATAGAGGATAGCATTGGCAGCCATAATACAATAGGATTATCTTTCATGTTAAAGGAAGATTCCCTCAAGCTTTCCACGTAAATTTGTGTAACAAACCACTGTAAAAACGTCAGTAAATAACTCGCTCAGAATACTATATACTAATATACTATATACTATATCTACTCATATACAAATGTTGCCCTTTGTCTATCAGCTAGCCATGTACGTGACTAACAAGTGCCGCAGAGCGACAGCGCTCACCTGACGGCAGGTGTTCTGATGCTAAACTCAGGGGCAAACGAATCGAGAGCACCCTCCCATCGCCGCGTTCGCTCTCCCTCGTTGTCTCTCATTCTTGCAAGAGCGAGAGAGCGAAAGAGATATCTCTTCCCTTCGCGCCTCTCTCTCCCTCTCTCTCTCTCGCTCGATCACACTCTCGCTCTCTCGTTGTCTCTCTCTTTCTTTGTCTTTGTCTTTCTCTCTCTTTCTCTCTCCCTCTCTCTCTGAGAGAGAGAGAGTGATAGAGAGAGCGAGATGCGTGTGTGTGTTTGTACGCGTGCGTGTGTGTGTGCGTACATGCGTGTGTGCGTGCGTGTGCGTATGTAGGTGTGTATATGCGTCTGTGCGCGGCGAGAGAGTGGGGGGTTGGAAGAAGATAAATTGCCGAGAATTTCTGCAAAACAGGCGAAATGACAAACTTTCGCAGACGCCCGCGAGCGTACGCCGCGCCGCGTCTTACAAACAGGTTGCCGACGCCCTCCCCCCATCCCCCCGCCCGACGCCCCGCTCAGTGCGGGGAGGACGAGCGGGGCTCTAATGAGAGACCTGCTCCTCCCGTCATTCCATCTATTGTTGAGCGGTGTAGCCGTGGTGAGAGACCGACTGTCGTGGGAGGGGAGGGGGAGGGGAGGAGGACGTGTGTACGCGAAGTTGCGAGCGAACGTGGACCTGAATTCCATAACGCATCCCGGAACAAGAAAGAGAGAGAGAGAGAGAGAGAGAGAGAGAGAGAGAGAGAGAGATAGATAGAGAGAGAGAGAGGAGAGAGAGAGAGAGTGTGTGCGTGTGTGTGTTTGTGCGCGTGTGTGTTTGTGCGCGACACACACACACACACACGCACACACACGCACGCACGCACACACACTCCCCCACCACACACACAACACACACACGCACACACACACACACACGCACGCACGCATGCACGCGCACACACACACATCCCCCCCCCCACACCGCACCATGTCTGAGCAGCAGCAGCAGCATGACTAGGGCACGGGGCGGTAACGGTAGTACATGGCCCCGAGGCGGCAGTCGGTTCAAGCAGGCCGGACGGCGGCTGATAACAAGTCTCTATTATGTACGGCCCACACACACGCCCGGGTAATCATGTACTTAGCTAGCAGCAGCAGCAGCAGCAGCAGCAGCAGTAGTAGTAGTGGTAGCTGCAGCAGCAATAGTAGCAGTAGCAGCAGCAGTAGCAACAGTAGTAGCAGCAGCAGCACCACACCACCACCACCAGTAGTAGCAGCCGCACAACCGCCACCACCACCAGCACCAGCAGCATCACCACCACCACCACCAGCAGTAGCAACAGTAGCAGCAGCAACACCACCACCACCACCACCACCACAGGCACTTGGAACGTCTCAATAAAATAAAAAATTGTAAAGTCTTAATGTTTCTCTACTCTATGTCGCCTATTATTGCCGATAATCACCGGTAAATGCCGGTCAAATGCTCATCCGCAACACACAAGTACACCGCACGCCCGCCCTGTGCACAAACAACATGAATAAGAGAGCTCACACACACACACACACACACACGACGCACGCAC